TACTTAACTCACCAGTGAGAGCAGCAAGTCCCCTCGCACTGATTAATGGATTGACACGGACAATAAGCACGGATAGCCCAAATCCCTGCAACCATGGGGAAGTCCATTCTCCCCTCCAATACGACTGTAATTATGCCCATCATTCTCACATAATGTGGCTTACTTCTACATGAAAGAGAATCCTAAAAAATTACACTTGACGTGTTTTAGAGAAGTGACCACCCAGATGCAGAAGCCAGGGGTCATTTTGACCAAGATGAAGAAAGCATCCTTGTACACGAATCTCATGACTTTATCTGTGTCCACTGATCCTAAAAACACTATTCTTCGAATGTACACAGCTCTGAACACCCAGAAACACAAGGTGTTCAAGCCGAGGATTTTAATATTCGGCTCAAACACGCATGATACAACTGCTGTCATTTTTATCCAGTGACATTAACGCATACACAAACACACGCACCTTAAGGAAAAGGGTCCAAGTCGGTTGTGCCCTGCACACCAGCCTTCTATACCAGCCCAGTAGCTCACAGGTGGGCTCACCACCATTGATATCACCCTCCAGGTGGAGTCTCGGCAGCTGGACACCTGCATACCTCCAACTCTTGAAGCTGGTTTTCCCTCAAGGTCGGTGACCTTACTTGTCTATTATTCCCCCCCAACAAGATTCACTAATAATATTATTATTGCTTTTTTACCCCAGAGAGATTTTTATCCCCCCCCCACAAGATTCACTAGCAATATTATTATTGCTTTTTTACCCCAGAGAGATTTTTTTCTTTAAAGAATTATTTTATTTATATTTATTTATCCATTCTAATTTGACCAGAGAGGGGGAGAAAGAGAGAGAGAAAGAGAGAAAATGAGAAAGCAAGCCGCCAGGTCTAGGACTCGAACCGTGGTTGGCTGTGTGGGAGGCCAGTACCCTTAACCACCATGCCACCTGCCGGCCCTCTAAAGAGATGCTTTTGCTGTAGGGTGCATGAGCACACTAGAGAGAGAGAGAAACAGAGACAGAAAGTGAGAAATCACCCCCCCAGTGGGGATGGCCATGCTGCAATCCCTCCTCTTTCATTCTCATCTTGGGATCTTGGGCAAGCACTCACATGTACCCGGTGTGAGTTTTAAGCTACCAGGTCCAGGACTCGAACCACGGTTGACTATGTGGGAGTCCAGCGATGTGACCATTACACCATCTGTTGGTCCCTTACTATTGCTTATCACATTACTCTGCTCTTTATCCACTCACCAATCAGCAGGACACACACGGATATCTTAGTTGCAACCACGGGTAAAAAACACCCACAAGCACCCTTAACATATGCAGGCTGGACTTAGGGGGCATTCTCAAGAAAACACACAACTAAGTGTCTGCTGGTGTTTACCTGGAAGAGATCTACCAGCTCTGTAAATTCTTAGTAACACTGGCTGGCACCCCAACTTCACTCTTCGCTGAAGCCTCGACATCACCTTAAATCCTTAACATCTCTACTAATTCCTGGTGAAGACGAAAGCCTTGTTTCATCATAAATCAAATTACTATGAAGCAGACATAAAGCATGAAAAGCAGAGCAATGAAAATCTGCTTTTCTTTTTCTCTTTCTTTCTCTTTCTTTTTTTCTTCTTTTGCTCATTCACTTGCTAGAGGGCACCTACACTCCTCTAAGAGATACAGAGAGAGAGAGGGGGGAAAGGAAAGTGAGAAAGCACCCCCAAGTGGGATTGTCACACTACACTTCCTTCTCCATTTTCCTCTCTAGAACTTGGGCACACATGTGCATGCACCTGGCACGTTTCTCAAGCTGTTGGGTCCAGGTCTCAAATTATGCAGTCAGCCTTGAGTAATACAGTCACTCCAAGCACTATGCCACCAGCTAGCCCAGGATTCTGTTTTATCGAAACACAGGCGACAGAGTAAAGTACTTAATTTTTCCTCATACTGCTGGTTCAATTTAAAACAAAGCTCTAATTAAAACCACACAGGGATAACCAGGTAGTTGAATGGAGCAGGGGAAATGATGCATCAATGTAATAGGCAAGGGACACATAGATAAAAACTGAAAGTAAACCACATGGGAGCCAGCAGATGGCGTGATGGTTAAGGGCACTGGATTCCCACATGGCTGACCACAGTTCGAGTCCTGGACCTAGTGGCTTGCTTTCTCACTTTCTCTCTCTCTCTCTCTCTCTCTCTCTCTCTCTCTCTCATGTGTGCACTCTGTCCCCCTCTGGCTAAATAAATAAGAATGTAAACCATGGGAAGAACGAGGTAAGCAAAGAAAAACTAAAGGCTGAAGGTATGTATCATCTGAACCTTGATTTAGAAAATCAACATTAGAAATGAAATGGCCTCCTGCCATTCTGTCTCAGAAAAACACTGAGTAGGGCCAGCCAGCAGTGTGGTGGTTTAGGCAGTTTAGGCAGGGGGATTCCACACAGCTGACTGAGCAGTTAAGAGTCCTAGACCCAGTGGCTTGAAAAACATGCTGGGTTTGGTGTGTGTGTGTGTGTGTGTGTGTGCTCAAAATTCTATGAAGAGAATGGAAGAGAAGGAACTGCAGCATTGTCATCCCACTCGAAGGTGTTTTCTCACTTTCTCTGTTTCTGGCCAGCACAAGTGTTCTAGAAAAAAAAAAAAAAAAAAACAAGAGCAAGCGAGAGAGAGAGAGAAAGGCAGATCATTTTTCATTTTCTGGGGAGTAAGACAGACCCTCGGATCAATTACGGTTTATATAAAACTTGAGAACTTTAGAAATTCTTCAGTTTTATTTTGTTATTCATGACAGAGCACGTGAATAAGTAGGTCAGTCCTGCAGTGCAGTGATTAAGCACTGTGTAAAGAAAGCCAGATCCCAGACAGCTGACCTCAGTTGGAGTCTTAGCCCCAAAGGCTTGAAAAACATACCAAGCATGTGTGCGCATGTGCCTAGATCCTGATGGAATGGAGGAATGGAAAAGAGATTAGGCATAACCATGCTCCATTGGGGTGCTTTCTCCCTACCTTGCTCTCTGGCAATGGCGTGCACCCTCTACCAATGAAAAAATTTTAAAAAGACAGTGGCCAGCAGATGGTGTGGTAGTTGGGGCACTAGACTCCCACATGGTTCAAGTCCTATACCCAGTGGCTTGAAAATCATACCAGGTGCATGTGCATGCTTGAACAAAATCCTGAGAAGAGAATGGGGTAGAAGAGACTGGGGCATAGCCATCACCCAAGGTGGTGAATTCTCACTTTCTCTTTCTCTCTCTGGCAAGTTCATGTGTCCTATGGCAAAAAAAAAAAAAAAAAAAGGAAAAGCAGTCTCCACAGTGCTTGGTTGTGCCATGATCCCTTTCCTCCAGCCCTTGGGCCTGCCAGAATCCTGCATGGGCACAGATACACACACGCCTGGCATGTTTTCAAGTCAACCAGGCTGGGGACTCAAACCATAGTCAGCATATGACTTCCAGTTCCATAGTCCACACTGATTGCAACACAAAGGATAGACTGAGAATTTTACAAAATCTTCAAATTCATGCTTTTAACATTATGGAAAGCATTTTAAAAGTGATCCAAAAATAATCAACTGAGTTTCAAATTCTTTTTTTTTTTTGGAGAAATTTTCGCTATAGGGCGCGTGCGCTCGCCAGACAGACAAAGAGAGACATAGAGACAGAAAGCGAGAAATCACCCCCCAGGGGGGATGGTCACGCTGCAATCCCTTCTCCTCCATTCTCCTCTCGGGATCTTGGGTATGCACACACACGCGCCCGGTGTGAGTTTTAAGCCACCAGCCCAGGACGCGAACCGTGGTCAACTACGTGGGAGTCCAGCGACATAGCCATTACGCTAACTGCTGATTCCCACTGAGTTTCAAATTCTTAATGCTTTCACACATTTTAACCTTTCTTGCTATCCCCACCTACTTTGCTTTTTATAATTCCATATCTCTCAAAGTAAAGTGTTCATCAATTAAAACCTGGCATGTGGGATAAGTGGGTGGGATGGTGGCCAGGGCAGCTGGATCCCACACAACTGCCAACGCCGTTCAGTTCAAATCCTGGACCTGGAGACTTGAAAAATACGCTGGGTGCATATGCATGTGTGTCAAAAAAACATCCCAGGAGAAGGGACAATTGTGTGGCCACCTTATGGGGGATGCTCGCTCTCCCTCCCTCCCTCTCTCTCTCTCCAGTGAGTGCATGCATTCCGTGGCAAAAACAAAACAAAACAAAAACTTGCCATGGGGTCCAGTGTGATGGTGGGTGGGAATGACATGCCTTGCAAGGCCAAAAGCCATAAAATTGACAAAATGGGACTCCTGGGTTGGCTTGAAAACACACAGTGTGCAAGTGCAGGCCTCCAGGATCCTGAGGAACTTTGCGAAGCTGGGGAAGGGGATCGCAGTGAGACCCTGTTGAGGGTGCGCCTCTTCCCCTTCCCCTCACGTGTGTATACACTCTCATTTAAAACAAAACTTTACTTGTGGAACCACCAGGGATGCTGGTGACCTTCAACAAAACCTACCCTTTGAATAATTCTCATTGCTCATTTCCATCTAAAGAAAAGGAGGCACTGAGTTGGGTAAAGAAAGAGACAGTACATTTCAAATGTCTGAGATTTTAAGAATTCGTGACAACTGACTGCCCACAACACAGCTCTGAAAATCTCTGTCAGCTGCCCTTTCACCGAACGGTGAAGCAGAGCAGCTTCCTAAAGAAGGGTCAAGCGAGGAGGGCCAACCACCTCCAGCTCTCCTCTCCCTCCTTGTCCCCATCTCCAACAGCTTCTCTCCAGAAATAACTAAATGTATGAGATCACCCACAGTGTGAAGACAGAGGCATGACACCTACAAGTTGCCTATTTATAGAAAGTGTTAACACTTCTTGGAAAAAAGACACCAGAAATCTCCTTGGAAACGCCCAAGCCTAAGTTCCCTTGGAACTCTGGTCTGCTAATACCAATGACTGAATCGCCACCTTTAAAACAAAACCAAAACCAAGGTTCTGCAGGTACTTACGGTTTTCCCCCAGGGATTCCTGCCAGGTTTGGAGGGATGGTAGGTACTCTCATGTGAGGGGGAGGATCGAACCCCACCTGGAACCAAAATAAGACATTGTAGACTCAGTTTATGCAAGGCAAGCACTTTCTGAACAGCAGTAAAGACTTTTCATTAGAAACTCATACATCTCCAAATATAAATGGGGACAGTGACATGGCCTAGCACAGAGTCCCCAACCCCTGACAGTCCCCAACCCCTGTGGCCTGTTGGGGCTGCATGACTGAGGGTGAGTGGTAGGCCAGTGAGTAAACCTTCATCTGTATTTACGGCTGCTCTTCATGGCCCACATTACTGCCTGAGCAGTAATGTCTCCTGCCAGATCAGAAAAGGCATCAGATTCTTAAAGGAACGCAAAGTCTACCCCAAACTGCACATGCAAAAGGTCTACGTTGTGTGGTCCTTGTGAGAACCTAATGCGTGATGAAGAGGGGCGCTGAGGCGATGATGCTAGCACTGGGGGCAACTGCAAATACTGCATTATGGTGAGCTGTATAATTATTTCATCACGTATTATTAGGTTGTCAGGAGAGTCCTGACGTATTTTTTTCTGTTTCTACACAAAAATGTGTCATGACTTTCTTGACAACCCAATGTAATGTATTATTAATAGAAATAAAGTGCACAGTAAATGCAACACGCTTTGATCATCCCAATACTCCCCATCCCATGGAAAAATTGTCTTTCATGAAACTGGTCCCCAGTGTCAAAAGGTTGGGGACTGCTGGCCTAGCATTTCTCCCCCAAAAAAGATACAACACAGAAGTAATAGAACCACCTCGTGTACCACACAACGAACATATTTTGGGGGGGATTACAAGGGGTGTAATCTACTTGGGCACTGAGAACCAGTTCCCCGTGGTAAATACTCCTCATAGATTTAAGATGTCCAGCCTTGACCAAGCAAGTGCAGACAGCTATATGTGGTCTAAGTCAGGACTTTTCAACCTCAGCACTACTAATGCTTTGGACTAGAAAGTTCTTTTCTTTTTTTTTTTTAAGAATTATTTTATTTAACTTTATTTATTTATTTTAATTGGACCAGAGAGGGAAACTGTGAGAGAGAGAGGGAAAGTGAGAATGCAAGCCACCAGGTCCGATACTCAAGCTGCAGTTGCCCAGCTGGGAGCCAGTGCCCTTAACCACCACACTACCTGCCAATCCCCACCCCTCACCTTTTTGTTTTTTTTTAAAGAGAGATTTTTGCTACAGAGTGTGTGGACTTGCCAGAAGACAGAGAGATATAGAAAGTGAGAAATCACACCCCAGGGGGTAGCCAAGCTGCAATCCCTTCTCCTCCATTCACCTCTCGGGATCTTGGGCATGCATGCACATGTGCCTGGAGTGAGTTTAAGCCACCGGGTCTGGGACTCGAACTGCGGTCAACTACGTGGGAGTCCAGCAATGTAACTATTATGCCACCTGCTGGTTTCAAGAGGCTTCTTTTCTTTGTTGGAGATTGCCCTGGGCACTGTAGGATATTCAGCAGCATCCCTGGCCTTTACCCTCTCTGTATCCACAGGATTCTCTCCCCCTAGTTTTGATAATCAAAAAATGTCTCCAGATATTACCAAAAGTCTCCAAGGGGTAAAAAATCACCCCCTTCGCATAGCCCCGGTCTAATTTAATACTTAAGGATTCATGTATGGAGTCCTGGCAATGTGCACCTTAAGGACAACATCTATTCCCTTGTCTGCCCACCTTAGTGGGACTGCTAGATCATGCTCCCTCCTGAGAGAGAGAAAGAGGAAGGAAACCAGGAGAAAGTAATGAGTGTCGCCATTACCCCAAACTACTGAACGCAATGTTACCTGAAGAGGGGAAAAGAGAGAAAGGTGTGCGGCATCTGTTCAACAGCCAACAGAAAAGATTTCAGTACTTTTCCTGCAGTTTTGTATATTCTTGGTCAAAAATAAGGCCATTTGCAAGGTGGCAGAGGCAAGGCAAGACAGTGTAGAGGCTATCCCCATGGTCTCATAGCGTGTGTTTCTACCAACTCTGCAGAGATCACCTCTCACACTGAACCATGCCACTGGGTTTCAAGAACAACAGGCTAGGCCAGCCAGTGGCATGGTGGTTAAGACAGCTGGATCACACATGGTCAGCTGTACAGTTCAAGTCCCAGATCCAGTAGCTTGAAAAATGCGCAGGGCGTGTGTGTGCATACCCAAACTCCTGAGAGGAAAAGGGCGCAGAAGGGATGGGGGCATGGCCATCCCCCCCAGGGGTGCTTTCCACTTTCCTTCTCTCTCCTCTTTCCGGCAAATACATGCAAACTATGGAGCAAACTATGGAGAAAAAAAAAATACAGGCTTGGAAAGAGAAAGCAATGGCTTCTCAAATATTTTTTCTATGGTTTAAAGAGAGAGAGAGAGAGAAAAAAAAAAAAGAAGAAGCTAAAGAAAAATGAATGAAAAGGCTTCTTTGAGCCATGAGAATCATTTCATCGCCTTCAAATAAAAAAATCTACTTTGGTGGGAGAAAACCAGATGTCCCCTGAATCACCAAAGGAGCTTCTAAACACTGCCTTATTCTTCCACAAAAACAGTAAAACAAAAAGCGTTTGGCCCTAACTTAATGAACCAGTATGTTGAAGAGGGCTGACAAGAGGAAGGCAAGCGTGCTGCTGGGACACTGGGCGGCTTTGTTTCTGAGGTGTGCGGGGCTGGCTGGTCCTGCCCACACGGCAGAGGCCTGCACCCCGGAGCTGACAATGCTCAATGAGGCATGCCACTTTCTAACCCCACCCAACCCCTGAAAGTGACCTACCATTGGAGAGCGCCCATAGGCCACCACGGCAGCTGCGGCTGCGGCAGCGCTCATCTGGGGAGACATGTTGTGCAAACTGGCATAAGCAGCGCCAGGGCTGGTCAGCTCGCCATTCATGCCGGCATGGGGGACCATTCCAAAGGGAGCGGGGTACGGGCCTGGCACAGCCAGGGGCGTCCTCAGACCAGCTGCTGAAAGGAAACACAAGCCACACAGGACTCAGATGATCCACATGAGGCAAACCTTACCGGCAATCCCAGTGCCACGTGTTGGTGTCACATGACAATATGTAGAGGGAGGAGGGGGGAAATCACTTCCAATTTATACACTGGATCCACTCTTT